TTAACTGCGTTGGGTCTTCCTTGCTGTGTGCAGCTTTCTCTAGTTGCGGTGACTGGGGGCTACTCTTCGTTGCGGTGCGTGGGCTTCTCATTGTGGTGGCTTCTCTTGTTGAGGAGTACAAGCTCTAGGCACGCGGGCTTCAGTAGTTATGGCATGCGGGCCCAGTATTTGTGGCTCGCAGGTTCTAGGGCTCAGGCTCAGTAGTTGTGGCACGCGGGTTCAGTAGTTGTGGCACACAGACTTAGTTGCGCCGCGGCATGTGGGATCTTCCCAGACCAGTGCTCGAACCCGTGTCCCCTGCATTGGCAGGCAGAGTCCTAACCACTGAACCACCAGGGAAGTCCCAATATTATATTTTTTAATGATTTGGAACAGCATGCTTGATCTATATATTTTTTTCAAATGAATTTAAAACCAAGTAGGATTTTTTTTTTTTTTTTTTTTTTTTTAAATTTTGACTATCTTGGGACTTCCCTCGTCATGCACTGGTTAAGAATCCGCCTGCCAGGGCTTCCTTGTACTTATTTTGGTCAGTTTTTATTTCAGAAGGGTTGATAGTATTCTACATCTAACCAATTTTTAATATATACATACACATATATAGGTCTGTATGTATGTATATGTACAAAGTATATACAGATTTTAAATGGCTCTATATTATGTAATATAATTAATTTGGAATCTCTTTCAAACTAATACAAAAGTTAAAAGTTGCAAGTGTGGTACAAAGAACTTTTCTAAAAGCATTTGAGAGTAAGTTGCTAAAGTGATGCCTCATCATCCTGAATACTTTAGTTTGTATTTTTATTAAAAAGGAAATATATTTTCCTATGAAACCACAATACAACCATCTATTGATGTATAATATTATTACCAATTATTCCTCAGAATGTATTCAAGTTTCACTTTTTATCTTAATATTATCCTTTATAGCAAAAGCAAAGCGTCCAATTCAGAATTACACATTGCTTGTAAATGTCATGTCTCTTTAGTCTCCTTCAGGAGGGAACAGTTTCTCAGTTTTTGTTTTTGTCTGTTTTTAATGACCTTGACACTTGAAGATTATGGGCCCAGATTATGTAGAATGTCTCTCAGTTCAGATTTATCTGATTTCGTCCTCATGATAAGATTAAATTACACATTATTTGTAGTAATATCACAGAAGTAATGCTATCCTAACTTCAGCAGTAAGTTGTTCTTTGCTTTGCTTTATGTTTTTTTGCTTTTCTTTATAATTTTTTCATTTTATCTGTTTTTTTGAACTCTATGTAAATGCAGTATTTTTTTGAACTCTATGTAAATGCAATATTTTTTGTGTCTACTTAACTTATTTCTTTGGGATATTCATCCATGTTGTTGCATGTAGCTATAGTAGGCATGAATCCCAGAAGCAATATAAGAAAGATAAATTTGATTATGTAAAATCAAATGCCAAACTGGGAATACTTGTTTCGCATATATCCTGTAAATGGAATATATACATATTTCTTACAAATCAGTAAGAAAAAGATGACAAGAGTATTTTATATGTTTGTACCGTTTGATCTACTTTATAACAGAATAACAGTGTGCATGTGGTAAAAATGAATAACATATATCCATATACTAACATGAGATTTCTGTGGTATATTGCTTTTTCTTTTTTTAAGCAGTTTGCAAAATACAGAATAGTGTACATAGAATGATACCATCTTTGGAAAAAATATAATTATGTGGAATTTTACTATATAGAGAGAAAATTTAGGAGATACACTGCAAAGGTTTTTTTTAGAGTGAGAGTGGAATTATAAGGACTATCACTTTTGGGGGAGGGGGCTGTCATTTTCTTTCTTAAGTCTACATATGTTTACATTTTTTTATGTCTTGTTTTTCTAGAACCAGCATGTAGCTATATTTTCATTTTAAAGAATGAAATAAGAGCTTGATTTTTCTCTATTATTTTAAATACATTTAGTTTTTATTGTACAGAATATATATGCCTCTTATTTCTGTATATTTTTCTATTCCTTTTACATGCACAGTATGTTTTTCAGAGAAAGAAAAAACATATTAGGGGTTTTATCACTTTCTTTCTTTACTTTCCCAGGGAATTACCTTTAGAATTACAGGGAGTTTTTGATAAAGAGGAGGTCGATGTTAAAGTTGAAGATAAGAAGAATGAAGTATGTATGTCAACGAAGCCTGTGTTCCAGCCCTTCTCAGGACAGGGTCACAGACTGGGAAGGTGAGTAGGCTCATGATCTGTAATTTCCATAAGCAGAGGTTTGACTAATACTCAGCTTGTCATTATTTTACTATGTAGACCACACATATAGAGTTATCATTTCTCCCATTGGAAATGAGATTTTTCATGTTAACTTCTATGAGAACTTCTAAGTCATATTCACCTTAGTGTAAATTAACATATGCTGGCACTATACTAAAAAGTTATGGTGGCTTTTTTGGTTTTGTCCGATCAAAAGTGCCTTGCTTAATGAGGACGTTGGGCAAAATTGGGTGGATAAATCATTTTTTCTGCCTTGCACCCACCACTTGAGCTTTGCCATTAATGTCACAGAGTACATAGGCTAGCTTTTGGATATAGGCTTCTGTATTATAGTTACCAATGCCTTCAGCATTGTGTTCTCTGATCACTATCTGAATTTTGAGGTAATAAAAGTGAAATAATGCCTGATAAAGTTAGTATCGGTATCAGAGCCTTTAATTATTGGGTTGGCCAAGAAGTTCGTTTGGGTTTTTCATAAGCTCTTCCGAAAAACCCGACCGAACTTTTTGCTCAATATTTTCAGACTTTGCAGTATTCATCTTATCTAATTATGCCTGTGGCAGAATATGCAAAGAGGTTAAATATAGGATTGCTTTCATTTTTATGAATTCTCATATATTAATTATCAAGATTGGTAAGTTATATAAATGCATATTCATCCACACATGTAAAAATATCCCAATGTGACTTTCAGAGTGATGAGGGAATACTTTGTTTCCTTTCATTTCCTTTATAACCCAAGGACTGTTCTCTACAGAGAACTTATCATTTCTTTTAGAAATTTTAACCTGGGGAGTAGGTAAAGGTAAAGTCCATAGATCTGTCAGCACTATAAAATTGTTCTGTAAGGCACAATTCAAATACATAAGTATACTCTTCAAGTATACTTACGTAACAGTCCACAAGCTTACAACTTACTTAGATGTGCATAATTTTATTAGATTCCTATGATCATCATGTATAATGGATATAACTGATATTAATATCTTTATGTGTTAGGGAACAGCTGTGACTAGCTAAAATCTTCCTAAAAGCTATACTTACTGTAAAGTTTTTATAATAATTGTTTAATGATAAAGTTCTGCTTAATTAAAAACATGCATGTGACTTGTTGTCTGGATTTTCTTAGTGCTACACCAAAAATTGTTTCTAAAGCGAAGGCTATTGAAGTTGAGAATAAAAATAAGTTGTCTACTGTCCCACTAAACAGTCTGGAACCCATCACTAATATACAGATCTGGTTAGCCAATGGAGAAAGGATTGTCCAGAAATTTAACATTTCTCATAGGTGAGTCTTCCATTTCATTATTTGTCTGATTTGTTCCCTAAGTTTTAATTGTATTTCTTCTTTTCAGGTCAGTCAACAGCTTTTTTTAAGAACTAAGGATCTTAATAAATAGTTCTCTAAACTTAATGTTTCATGACAGTGGAAATTCTTGGACATTAATCAAGTGTTTTCAGTCTGTTTTATGGATTATCATTTCATTAGTTTTCCTGTTTATCTAGATACATAATTTTAAAAGAATTATTTTTAATATGTTTTTAAGTTGATCATTAGCATTATGTGTGTATTTTTCTGTTAATTGTAGAAAAGGAATGATAATACAGGAAAGTACTGAAAGAAATTGAAATCAAGTTAAATTCCATTACCCAGAGATAATCACTACTACTAGTTTGATGGATTTTTACAGTCTTTTATCTCGTCTTAAAATGTTTTTTCATTTTAATTAAAGTAGGAACATATTGTATATAGGTTTCCAAGTCCCTGGGACCTCCTTTAAACTTTTTACATCTTCCCATCATTCTTTGAGCATTTTCTTGTTTATTGGCACAAAATATTTTTTCAGGTTCGTTCTGTACGTTTTCTAAGAAGCCCTGGTTCTTTTTAGTGGCCAAGGGTATTAAGGATCTGGTTACTAGGTATACTTATTGCCAGCATTCCCAGGCCCTCTGAGTGGAAAGAGCTACAGGTGTCTCTACATACATACACACATGCATCTATATACACACACTAACACACACATTTACAAATGTATTTCTGTATCTTTGCATAGCGAAAACCATGAGTTTACATAGATAGCTCTAATTTTAATCCACCACCACAGGATTTATTCTAGTTTTCCCCTTTCCATATTTGTAATTAACTTCTTCACGTTCTTCAGTTTAACTTTCTTCAGTGAGAAACCTGGCTCCAGTTATTCTCAATATATTTATTTATTTATTAAAAATATTTATTTATTTATTGGTTGCGCTGGATCTTAGTTGCATCAGGCAGGCTCCTTAGTTGCGGCTTGAGGGCTCCTTAGTTGTGGCATGTGAACTCTTAGTTGTAGTATGCATGTGTGATCTAGTTCCCTGACCAGGAATTGAACCTGGGCCCACTTCATTGGGAGCACAGAGTCTTAACATCTGTACCACCAGGAAAGCCCCCAATATATTTATTTACTGATCATTTCTCCTACATGTAACCAGTCTCCTTCTGCTGCTGCTGCCTCTCCTCCCCAGCCTGGAAGCCTCCCTCTTCCTGCTGGGTCTCTTGACATATCACATCATGCCAATGACCTGTTTGCCCTCCTGAGCTCTGGCAGTTGGTGCTGCCTATCCTCCCCTATGAGTGGTCACTTTCCACCTCGTTCTGGTTCTGACACACTGCAGTTGGCCCCTCCTCTGTATGAATGCTCTTTTTATTCTGCTTGGGACAGCCTGCTGTGTACCACCTCTCCTATATTCCTAACCCAACTTGGCTTCTGACACACTGCACTGAGCACCTCTTCTGTGTGGACACACTCCTAATGCTGCTCATACTGCAACTGTCCCCACCTGCCTCCCTCTACATGGGCGCACTCCTCGTGCTGGTCAGACTCTGACACCAGGAAGATGGGCCGCTTTCCTGTGCAGATGCCCTCTTCACCCAACCTGGACTCGGATTCCCTGATCTGGGCCACCACAACTCCCTCTCATATCTGGCCTGTATGCCAGTAGGTTCTCATTATTATCTATTTTATACATAGTAGTGTATATATGTCAATCCCACTCTCCCAGTTCGTCTCACCCTACCCTTCCCCCCTTGGTAACCATAAGTTTGTTCTCTACAACTCAGGTTTGTTTCTTTTTAGGGAAATAAAATATTGTAATCCCAACTTCTTTGTCTAGAAAAATACTTCTGGCATTTTCAATAACAAATAGTCACCTACCATTTTTTTTCCCTGAATGACTTGAAGCATTTAAAAACCGTGGACTGGCCAACGGTATTTATTAAGTCATAATTAACCAAGCTTTGTTTTTTAATTGGAATGTTTAGTCCAGTTTTTATAATGTTTTATAATATCCTGAACTACTTAGGTTTAAGGCTACCATCTTGCTCTTTGTTTTCTCTTTACCCCATGTCTTTTTATTCTTCATTCCTACTTTCTTGCCTCTTTTTGAGCTTAATGAATATTATTTTTTATCCTCTCATAGCTTTTTAGATTGGCATTTCTTTATTCTTGTAGTAGTATTGCAGAGATCACAGTACACATTTTTAATTTTTACTGCACAGTTCCTTTAATCTTTATTGGGTTTTTTTGTATTTATATTCTTTGCCATAAGCTTTAGCCTTTCATTATCCAATTTTTGGTACCCAATAAATACAAGTGACCATTTTCTTGATTTTTTTGGTAACCTGCACAGATTAACAGAGTGGCAATTGGTGAATTTGATTGAATGGGAAAATTCTGTCTTTGGTGATGTCATATTTCATTAATTCTTGTTTGCACATTTTTTCACATTTTAGCATCTCTGAAATGGGGATGCATCCTTATAATTTCCTGTTGGCCATATGGCAGTAATGACATAATTGTCTTTGCCTTGGCATCTGCCTCAAAGCATGCAGAACAAGTGTCAGCTCAATGAAAGATCATCCCAGAGACAGTAGTGGAGCACTTTTCAAAGTACTGCTATATCATCAACACACCCGATGATACAGAAGGGAGTATTATATGGAAAAACATGTACATCAATGAACTGATTCAGAAGTGATTTGAAGGATCTGAGTCTGAATAACGTTCAGCTTAGGAATGACTTAACCATTTTATTTTAATCTTATTATGGAAGTAAGTGATTTGATGAATGTTTGTGTGAAAATTAGTTAAAAGTGCTCTTTCAATAAATATAAAAATTCTAAGTGTTTAAGAAACTATTTTGTCATGATCTGGATTTTTAAAAATTTTAGTAGTATATAAAATGACAAGTCTTAGAATCAGTGGCATCTCAGGGGGGTTTTTTTGGCCATGCCACCTGGCTTGCAGGATCTCAGTTCCCTGACCAGGGATTGAACCTAGGCCATGGCAGTGAAATCCCAGAATCCTAACCACTAGGCCACCAGGGAACTCCCAGTGGCATCTTAATTTCGATGAACTGTATACGTACTTTCCCTTTCTAAATACACACGCATATACTTACATGAACATAACTTTGAGCAACCTTCAAGATTGCAGTGATTGGGAGGACTTCCCTGGTGGCGCAGTGGTTAAGAATCCGCCTGCCAATGCAGGGGACACGGGTTCGAGCCCTGGTCTGGGAAGATCCCACATGCCGCAGAGCAACGAAGCCCGTGCACCACAACTACTGAGCCTGCACTCTAGAGCCTGCGAGCCACAACTACTGAGCCCATGTGCCACAACTACTGAAGCTCACACGCCTAGAGTCCGTGCTCTGTAACAAAGACAAGCCACCACAATGAGAAGCACGTGCACTGCAACGAAGAGTAGCCCCCACTTGCCGCAACTAAAGAAAGCCCGTGTGCAGCAACGAAGATCAAATGCAGCCAAAAATAAATAAATAATTTTTAAAAATCACTGTTATTAAAAAGAAAGATTGCAGTGATTATATTAAATTATAGTGTTTATTATACTAACTGAAAATCTACCTCCACTGGGTTAAGAATTTTCTTAACTAGATTTGAAGCACAGCCTGACGTAGTATTTAAGAGATACAGCCTGTGTATCTGGTTGGATACCAGATACTGGTTGGACCATTTCTGATCCATTCAGAGCAAGATATGTAGATATTTCTGTTATAGAAACTTTCAGGCATATGCAAAAGCAAAGATATGATATAATGATCCATCATCACTCAGTTCCCACTGAACTATGTTAAGCAAATCCCAGACTTCATATAGTTTCATATGTAGATATTTCAGAATGTGTTTCTAAAAAATAGAGACTCAAAATGTAACTCTAATACCCTTGTCACATCTAAGATAAGGAATAGTAATTCCTGACTATTATCAGGGGTGAACCTTTAAAAGATAGCCCAAGTGAGTAGTTACATCATGATAATTTGATTATTCTGGATTAACATAGCCAAGTATCATCACAAGTTATTACCTTAAAATAACTAATTCAGGTTTTCATAAAATTATATTAATAGTTTGTGCTATTTTACAGGGTAAGCCACATCAAAGACTTCATCGAAAAATACCAAGGATCACAAAGAAGTCCTCCCTTTTCCCTGGCAACAGCTCTTCCTTTCCTCAAATTACTAGATGAAACACTCACACTGGAAGAAGCCAATTTACAGAATGCTGTAATCATTCAGAGACTCAAAAAAACTGTGGAACCTTTTAAAGAACTTTCATAACATTGATTTTTTGATACACTAAGTGGAAGGTTTCCAGAAAAAGATGGTCATAAGTGGACATGCACACCAAAATGGGGGGGAAGTCAGATTTGCTGGGCTTTGCATGATTTAACTCCCTCCTGATGAGAAGATTTTAAATTAAGTACAAGTTAGGAAAATAAACTATGACTGGAAACTATATTCAATGAACTTTTCCCAGAAGGCTACTCAGAAAGAAAAATAGACTTATTTTCAAATACCAGTTATTTAACGTAAGATATATTAAATATATCATTTAAAATCTTAATATGGTATAAATTAGCAAATATGTTCATAGCATCTTTCATTCAAACATCATTCCCAAACAGCAGTGATTTATTTAAATGTTAGCTGTCTCAGATTTTTTTAAATAGCAATACATTAAAAAATTATACATGGCAGGTTAAAAACATCAATGCAATTTTATTATATCTGAGATACAATCAAAAGGCTGGAAGGAGCTGCTTTCACCACAGCTACACCTCACCCTCAGAAGTGTTCCCAATTTGCAGTGTCTGATGGCAGGATACACTCAAATATTAACTTGGCGACAATATCTGGGATGTATTTTCATTTAAGAATAAAATTGTGTGGCTTAGTATAATGTCAGTATCAATCTGCTGACACACATTTCAACATTTTCGAAATGTATAAATTTAAAAGAATTCTTTTTTCTCTAGGAAATGCAGTTTATCCCCTACTTTATTATCTTTCAGAAATTAGGGGTTTGGGGGCATCCCTGATGGCGCAGTGGTTGAGAGTCCACCTGCTGATGCAGGGGACACAGGTTCGTGCCCCGGTCCGGGAAGATCCCACATGCCGCGGAGCGGCTGGGCTCATGAGCCATGGCCGCTGAGCCTGCGCGTCCGGAGCCTGTGCTCCGCAACGGGAGAGGCCACAACAGTGAGAGGCCTGCGTACCGCAAAAAAAAAAAAAAAAAAAAAAATTAGGGGTTTTTTCTTAGTTAACATTTGGAGCGGGCCATTTGTTTGCCACCACTCATGTAGAATCTAATGCTAGTGTCGTCACGTTACTAATTAACATTTTTTAAATGTGCCGTGTAAAGTATGGTTTTCTATTTCATACATCACACAGCCCATTTATGTATTAAAGGATTTATTACATTATGATGTCACTAAGGAAAACATGCTAGATTTTTAACTAAAACTGGTTACACTTCAGTATTTCCCTGTCAGATTAAATCCCCTTGACTGACAATAAGTTTAAGAAGCTTTTTGCAGACGATCTATTGAATCATATTTAAAGTGAAATATACATTGAATGTGCCAAGGAACTAAGTGGCCATGCCTAACAGCAGTAATGTTCATAGGGTGCTGGATGTCTGCTGGAAAGAGCAGTTCTCAAACTTTTTGGTCTCAAGACCTTTTGTTTATGTGGGTTATAAATACTAATATTATATTTAAAATAAAAAAGTTATAAAATATTCATTAAAAATAATAAACGTGTTAATATAAAGAACATATTTATGAAAAATGTCTATTTTCCAAAATTTAAAAAGATTTAGTGAGAAACGTGGCATTGTATTTCATTTTTTCTAAATATCTTTACTGTCTGATTTAAAGAAGACAGATGAAATCTCATCTGCTTCTGTATGTCTGTTGCAGTATCACACATCATGTAGCCTATAGTAAATGCTATACTGTACATTCATGAGAAAGTGAAAAAAAGCAAATAACATCTTAGTATAATTATGAAAATAGTTTTGACCTTGCAGAACCCTTGCAAGAGCTAATCTTATAAAGCAGTGATTTGCAGTGATTCTCAGGCCTTAATATGTAAGAATCACTTGGGAAGCTTTTCAGAATGCCTATTACCTGCCACCTACCACACACATTTTAACAATACATTGTATTTGGGATGGGTTCCAGATGTCTACATTTTTAATCCCAAGTAATTCTTAGGTATGTAGTAGGAGAACCAGTCTTCAGGAAATCCTGCACTAAGCTTCCACCCTAATAAAATAAAACCTGCGTGCTGCATCATGGACAGTGCAAGACTCAACTGAAATCGGACTGTTAGACCTTTAAATTTTACTGTAGTCCACCAGTTGTTCTTAGACTGTCCTCCCACCCTTTAATTCTGAACTAATCATGAGATAAACCTGTGCTTTATCTTCTGTAAGCACAGCTGAGACAAGGCTGCAACATTTAAATGAGGTTTTTATTAAAGGCTCAGGGATAACAAAAGGGAAATATACACATAACTAGATGACCTGATTTATAAAATATATCTTATGTTTGAAGTTCATTTTAAGAATGCTTCCTTTTCTAGCTCTCAGCCTTCTAGGTGGTAGAGGTCTTTTTATCAAGAAGAGAGGGAGAACAAAGGAGAGCCTTTTCCTTTTGTCATTTACCCTCAGAAATGAACAGATATATAATAGAAAATATTTATTGTCTGTAACGTTTACGGCTGTGGTAGAGTCATCTCTAGTAAGACAAAAATAATGGCATTCTTTAAAAAAATGAGGGGATGGTAAAATCAGATGTAACGTAAGTCATTGTTAATATATTTTCAAGAATCTGTAAGAAAATGTTTCATGTAGGCCTATCATGAAGCATTTTATAATTTTCATTTGCACAAATATGTCAATTTTTGATTCTCCATATATTTCTATAAAGGGGCTTCTTGTTGGAAATATTTTTCTTGTACATATAAAAAGGCCTCCTTTGTGGATTTTCCAGTTTATAGTAATAACCAGAAGACACATTAGAGGTTTTCTTGTGTGTACATGCAGAATACACCCCAGTGAGAAGTTCTGTAGAGAAAGACCTGTCATCAGCAAGAACCCTCATTTTTGTAACTGTGAAAACTCTAATTAATGTGGATGATATTCTTAAAGGTTTTCTAAAGTGAGAACCATTTGATAAAGCTTTTTACATTGAAGTTTAAAATTCTAAAGTTGTTAATTAAATATGTAGAATACCCAAAACATGTTGACTTTAGAAAACAAACTGAATTTAGCAAGGGAAGGCAAACTTGAAAATAAAGCAGCATCTTAGATGTGGAATACAATTTGACCTAAGTAGTTGTTTCACAAGTGGCATCAATCAGTTTAAAACCATTGTTGGGGGTGATATGCAGAAGTACATATCTAATTTTACAGATTCTAATTTATTGGTTAAATTACTATGCATTATCCAGGTTATAAAGGTGATCTTATTTATTTTATATACTTCTGTCATTCAGAATATTTTTCATTATACTTAATTGTGTTGAAATTATGTATGCATCTATTTCAGTGCCTTAAAGTATTTTGAAAGCAATCTTGCTAATGGTTAAAGAACTGTTGTCTTAAAGATGAAATACTTACTGTTCATTAAAAGGATCAGTGAGATAATTTACATTTCTTTGTTATGAGATTGTTATATATGGATGCATTTGTCATTTTTATTTGGCAAAGTCATTCAGTTTGAGAACCAACAAACATTAGGTGCTTTCTGTTTGCCAGGTACTTTAACCAATGTTACTTTCATTTAGTACTCAGAAGTGTTAAAATGTGATATTTTTAATACTAACTCAATGATTGTGTTTATTTCTTACACCATCCTTTGTGTCCTTAGTTGAACTAGCATGAAGACTCCTTAGTAAGATTTACCCCTTTGCTCTTAGTACAAACGATTTAATTTAAACATTGCTCATCACACTGAATCTTCAAATAGAAGTGGCTTATTCAGTAGACTAATATTTGGCTCTTTGTCACTTGATTTAAATGTATGTTTTTTGCACAGATAATTCATATTCGTTGGAGAAAATTATACAGTTATGCTCACCTGTTATTCCACCATTCGGAGATAACCACTAATAACATATTGGTGTGCATCCTTTCAGATGTTTTTAAGTGTATCAGTCTTTAGTTTTGTTTCAAAAGGCAGGCTTCTTGATTATTGTCGGCCTGTTTTATTTATTGAAGTCTATTTGTCTTTAAAAATTGCATTAGGAATATACCATCACTTTAAGCAGAATAGTAACTGTTAGGGAAAAAAATGCCTTTTAGTTACATTTCTGTGCAAAAAAGGGAGGGAGGTGTTTTTTGTGTTTTTTCTGTTGCCCACTTCCCTTCAAAAGTAAAATTGTGGTAGTACATGCAACACAGTATAAGTATTGTGAGTGAAGTGTTTCCAAACCTGCTGAAATTGCATATAAAGTGTGTGTTCAAACGTAAATTATCCAAAGAAACTCATCTTGAGATTGTTTAGTTTCCAAGAAATTAAATATTTAACACATGCATTATCTAGTTATCTTTGCACTATTTGCTAGGGCTGCAATCAAGGAAACTGTGAAGGTACCCATTTTCTAGATTAAGGAATTGAGGCATAGAAAATGGGATGACTTGCTTTATACTGGGTAGTGTATACTTTCGGGTTAGATTTAGCTCTAATGGGAAATCCAAAATAATAATGGCTTACAGAATACATTTTATTTTATTTCCCATGCAGAAGTCCAGAGGGAAGCAGTTCAGAGCTGCTAGATCAAAAGTCAGGACTCCAGTATTGTTAATCTGCGGACCTCAGCACCAGTTAACTTGAGGTCTTCAGATAGCCTGTTGGCACCAGCCATCACATTTGCATTTCATCATTTCATCCAGTAGAAGCAGCATACCCATTCCCTTTTTGAAAAAAGCTATTGAGATGTAATTCACATACCTTACAATTCACCCATTTAAAGTGTACAACTCAGTGTTTTTTTAGTATATTCACAGGATTGTGCAGCCATCACAATCTGATTTTAGAACATTTTTCTCTCTGAAAGAAACCCCATTGGGCTTCCCTGGTGGCGCAGTGGTTGAGAGTCAGCCTGCCGATGCAGGGGACACGGGTTTGTGCCCCGGTCCGGGAAGATCCCACATGCGGCGGAGCGGCTGGGCCCGTGAGCCATGGCCGCTAAGCCTGCGCGTCCAGAGCCTGTGCTCCGCAACGGGAGAGGCCACAACAGTGAGAGGCCCGCGTACCGCAAAAAAATAA